TTTTAATACTCGTGTCCAGGGACTTCTATGAAGCGCAGCTTTAACACCAAAGTGGATAAGGCTGCTCTTGGTTTTTTGGTTTTTTTTTCCATTTGTGGTTTGGGACCCCAAGAGATACATTTAATTAAGAGTATCCTGAGGGTTATCTTCTGCTTATCCCCCTGGACTAAAACCCATATGGTGAGTGTTAATTAGGTTGGCAAGCATTCGATTAAGCTACGTTGCCAGTATTCTAAATTTATGACCGTCTGTATCTCTTAATGGCATTGTTAGCAAATGCCCTTAAGCTGTCCACTCCTGCAATCAAAGACATGATATCCTGTATCTGAAGGATGGCATCTCCTACGGCATAGCGTTCCCAACTACTATTAGAGGTCTTTGCTGTCTCGGAGAAGTGTGCTGTTGTCTCAATTTCAGTATTGAGTTGGCAGGCATGCAAAAATCATGAGACAGGCCACCAATAATACAATGCTTTTGATTTTGTGATTTGGCTCATCTTGTGTCATCCTCGTTCCCCCCTTCAGGCTATACTTGGATCGCATTTTCAAGCTCTTCTCTGACGTAATGAATGCTAAGATTTTTTTTTTTTAAAGCCCTGTAAAACTAAGATTTTAAAGTAAATTGCATGATTCCTAATACTGACACCAAATACTTGGGAGACTCATGTAAAATGGTGAGCATTAGTAATGCTGCAGCCCCAAACATGAGCTGTAGCAATCTGCATTTCATTTACAAGTATCCCGTTAAAAAAGACAGTTCTCTGAATGCACATAGTACTTGTGGTAGTAAACTAAATTCTGTCTTAACTTCTCTCCAGACATTTATGGCTGATTAAAGCTATACCAAGAGTACGGAGCAGACCAGAATTCTATCAGTTTTACCACAATCTTTTATTAAGTTTCATTTCCAAAGGTCTCACCTAAAAGACAAACAGAATTAAATAGACATGCAACATTGCTTATGAAAAAATTAAGCAGTGATCCTTAATAGTCCAATACTGTAAAGCTTGATTTATTTACAGATTTTAATGTGAACAAAAGAACATTGTAGGCAGATCATTTTGTACATTCAGCCAACATCGGAGCTGTATTCCACAGCATTAAGTTACATGTAAGATATACTCTGAGAACGGATTAAGTGCTCTGGTGCATTGAGAAGCCACACAGTGTGGGGGCAATAGATGTCAGTTCACATTTGATAAAGAAGCTAGGAGCTAGAGCGTCAAGGAGCTATTCTACCAGTTTAGTAAAGGAGACAGCAGTCAGTTGATTTTTGTGCACTTTTTCAGCTCTTGATTCTGAAAAGTGCTGAACATTTGGAAATCTAAGCTTACTCATCTGTTTACAGTGTCCTGCCTCTCTCGGGATCAGCCCTGGATAAACCGAAGTTTTGACATACACATGTTAAAGTGTGCTGTACACCAACAAATTATTTTTCATGCTGCGAGGACTAGAATGTGGCATGGGGCTCCTCTCTTTTAAATCTTCATGTGCTGTTTCACTGTAAATGTTTGCTGCAATCCCAGGCATGGCCATTGTCATCTCACGTTAACAAATATTCTGTAAAAATTATAGACTTGAGGGTACAAATAGCTTCCTGTTTTCAGCTTGTAAGCTCTGAACTAGAAGGGAGGTAAGGAGTTTCAATTTCAATCCTGAGCTACACCCTCCCGCTGTTAGAGCGCAGAAGTCCTACAGTCAGTTTAAACATGTTTGGCTTCTAGGGGCCCCTGTTCATGCCTTCTCAGCGAGGGGGCAGCTGTAAGACTGTGCTGAAGAGCAGAAATAAAATCTTTTAGAAGCTTGGGAGAAAGAGCAAGAAAGGGGGAAGTACATAAAATATATTAAAAAAACCCCACATTTTAAAATTCAAGTATTGAACATAGGCAGCAAGCAGGAGTGCGGTGCAGCCTGGCAGCTGTGTTTACCGTGGCTGACACAGACCGGCAAAAACGCAACCCTTAAAACATCAGTGCATTGAGTTGAGGCCTACAGCCCAAGGAACACCTCAGGCTCTACTGACGTGGCACAATGGAGTCATCTAAAATATTGTGATTTATGCGCTCTAGAAACAGACAGCACCTCCCTTGGAGTCCTTTGTCAGGGAGTTTCCAAAAGCAAGTCTCGCTGCAGGTAAAGGGAACTGTCCTTATTAAATAGAATTATTTAAACACACACAGACTGTGTAAATAAAACATGGTTATATAAAGCTTTAGAGCAAGACTTTTGCCTTTAGAGTCTTTGAAAGAAAAGGGCCAAACCAGCACAATAATACAAAAAGCTCAGGTTATGGCTGGAGGAAATTTCACTCAGGGCAGCAGACAGCCATGTGCTGCCAACTGCGGGCTCTCTGGCAGAGAGGGAGGTCAGGCCAGGAGTTGGTCAGTGCTCAGGCTGCAGGGCTGGGGAGAATCCAGGCAGCCTACTGCAAAAATAAATAAATAATAATTTAAAAAAAAAATCACTGGATCAGGCCAGAGAGCAGCCCACAAAAGTGAAGTGCCAGCAGGGGCTCAGCATCAGGGCAGCTCTCTGGCCCAGCAGAGAACTGTATGTCTGTCCCTCAGGATGTCAGGTCCCACGATTAGGAGAAAAACCCAACCAGCCATTTACTGGCTATAACGTCTGCACACCAGTCAACTGCAGGTTTGAAATACTACTGAAAAACTAAGAACCGAGAAAACAACGTTCTGTTACAGGCAGGACCATCCTAATATAAATCAACAGCAGAACATTTAAGCGCTTCTGATTATTTTATACCACAGCACCATCTGTAATAATTAAACACAGAGAATATTGCCATGTAAAAAGTAGACTTCGTAGCCATGCATGGTTTAGCACAGCTTGTTTTAAAACAGTATGTTTCTGTGGTTTCAGAACTAGTAGGTCAAAACAGCTACTGCCTCATTGATTAAAAGGGAAGAGATAAGAAAAACCAGCATTCTTGTACCCTTCCCATTCAGCCTCCCCTGTACTACTTTGTTTTGTATTGTTAATGAACAAAAGCTGCACATGAATTCACAAACAATTGATTACCGGGGATACAAAGCCAAAGGTAGTAAATCAGTGTCACTGCAACTCCAACAAGATGAATGTTCTGGCAGTATTAGCCCATTAACATTGTTATCTTACTTAAACACAAAAAGCATCGAGGGCAAAAGAAAAGCTGCTATTCCTTAAGGTGTCATAAGCTGTAGTGTACAGGATGCCACTGATAAGATCTGAATTGTCAGACGTGCCAAGTTGGCAAAGAAACTTCACATATAGGTACACGTACAGCCACTAGGCATCTACTCTGTGCAGGGGGGAAGGTTATAATTTTTCTAAGCCGCACAAAAATGCCAAAACAATCTCAAGTATTTCTAGATTAAGTTAGTATTCATAGCTGGCAAAGCAAACATATACAAAAGAACAGTTCTGTTGTCATATACAATAGCAAGAATCTGGAATAACTATGTACAAGTCAGTAGAGTTCTTGGGAGTTTTTGGCAGTGGGAACAGAAACTGGCCACGAGTCAATGTAAAAAAAGAAACAAAAAAACCCCACGGAAAGCCACTGTTGCAAGTCCAAGATCCTCCCAAACCCCTTGGTATCAGAGTAACCACTTAAAAAAAGGCGTGGAACACAAGCACTATTCATCTCAAATAAAGCCTTCTAAGGTCATGGAGACACTCCACTATGCACACAGCCCAAGACACACTGAGTAGACTTAAAATTCTGTTTCCCAGGAGAACAACTGCTTTTAGAGAAGACGACGGTATCAAAGTGCCAGTATAACGTGCATATGCCAGTAAGTGTTGTACTTTGTCCTTTTCACTTGACAAGTTCTGCCCCCCC